TTGGTTAAAATCACAAAAAGTACTTTGAGATCTCAGTATAATCATCCTTAACAAAAGACACAGTGCCAAGAGAACCACCATCTTCAAGGAAATAAAGGAAGGTCGGCTGCACGTAGGGTTGTACTCCCAAGCAGCGTGTGTCAAAAGCAGCTGGGGAATTCTGTCAACTACAGGTTTGTTGAGGCCTCATCCTGGAAGTGAGGCCAAGAAGCCTTTATTTTTGAGAAGGCTCCCCGGGGTGATTCTGATGTTATCAAGGTTCACAAACGGACTACAATTTAAAACTTGGAAATCATTCACTTCAGTGTCTCCTCACGTACTTAGGTCATAGTTTTCTAGGTCAGTGGCATGGACTAGAGTCTGCTGTATGTAGTATGACATGGTATTTTTGAACCTTGGTATATAGTATTTGTGCTACTTTTAGATGACCAGGATCTACCCCAGCAACTCTGGATAATGGATATTTAAAGAAAGCTTGAGAAATAATTAGAATGGTGTAAGGATGTGGACCAGGTCAGAAGGAGAAGTGTGAATTCAGGATATTTCCTAGCACAGATTAATGCTAAGCACTTTAGTTGGCAGTGAGGTTTTACTTCCCCTGGGGCATTGTCTTCTGTTTTCTGGCCCTGGTGTGTGACTTATTCACTTGCACATGAATGTGTGTGTTTTTAAGTGTTATTCATACATGTCAGCAGTACATAATGATTACATTCACTGTAGGAGATTGGTACATGTGCATAATACATGTCAATTTCTTTTTTCCCATCCTCCCTCTTATTTTTCCAGCCTCAGATTCATTTATCTTGTAAGACCTTATAAAGTTAATTAGCATATATGTAGAATGAAAATCAGACTAAGGGGCCAAAGAACATATAAAACATGTTAGACAATTGTACTAAGTTATGGTATACTTTTAGATACATTATGTGCACTGGCTTACAATACTTATTTTTTTCTTTGAGTGTTTTTATTTATATACAAGCTTGTACTCATGACAGTTTGTTTTTTTGAATGCATTTTATTTTATTTTTTCTTTTTAGGGAAGGGTCTCTAGGATGTTCAGGGTCTCACTCCTAGATTAAACTCATAGTGATCCTCCTGCTTACAGCCTCCCAAGAACTGGGATTACAGGCAGAAGCCAACAGGCTGCAGCTCTTCCACTGAGCTATTTGGCCAACCCTAAAATTTGTTATTTTTCTCATGACTACTAGTTCTCCTTTTCCTCTGATGTTTGAAAACTTAGAAATTAAAGCCTCTTATGTACCAAAAATATAAATTCATGGAGGGGCTCTTAATAGAGACAGTGCGGAATGGTAGGAGGCAGATATTTGGAGTGAACGTATATTTGAATTCCAGGCCTCCACAAAATAGCTATTTGAGTCAAGCTGTTTCCTTATTTGTAAAATAAGGCTAATTTTAGTAGTTATTTCATGCTTTATAACTAGAAATATATGGTGGCCCAAATAGTCACCATATATTGCTCCTGTCAGCCCCCTTTATCTTTTATGTGGTCATTTCATTGAGATTCAGATCTATTGGGACACTGAATATTTTACACATGTAAAAGTTCTAAATCAATACTAGGGACCATGAAATAAGCATCTTTTTCAGGTAGAGTCTTTTCTGTTTTGTTTTTTGTTTTAAATAGGGGCTCCCTTTGTAGTCCAGGCTGGCTCAGACTGACTTTGTAGCCCAGGATGGCCTCAGACTTGAGTCAGGCCTGAGTTAGCCTACCAGGTGCCAGGATTACGGATGTACCAGCTCAGCCAGCACGGCACGCACAATTCTTTTTAAACTCTGCTACTCAGCTCTGTATCAAGTCACTGGTGAAGGGAGAAATAAAATTTAATAAAATTTTACTGCAGTGTAATTTTACTTTCCTTTTCTGTATTTTTTAATTTTCTTTTGCAGATTTTTTTTTTTTTTTTTTTTTTGTATTTTAGGGAAGGGTCTACAGGGTGTTCAGGGTCTTACTACTAGATCAGACTGGTAGTAATCCACCTGTTTACAGCTTCCCAAGAGCTGGGATTACAGGCGGGCGCCACCACACCCAGTCTCAGTTGCTGTCTCACAGGCCCCAGAGGCAGGGCCAGCACGGCAGGCCTGGGGATTGAACCCCCGGCCCCTCTACCTGCTTGCAGGTGCTTTAATTCTCTGAGCTATTTTGCCAGCCCTTGCAGCGTGATTTTTAGACTGACCATTGTCACCTAATATTCATCAAGTAGATTTTAACTAATATACATTTTTATTACTATACTACTCTACATTCTTATGCCAAACAGACTTTGAGGCACATTTCAATTTTAAGAGCTATTTTACATCCACAGCTATCTTTCTGTTTCAGTACAATTTAAAAGATGTTTTAAGGGCAATTATATTTCTGATAATCCTGTTTTGTTTTTAGCAATCATGGTGAATATAGTTCAGATTGTGCGTGATCACTGGGTACATATATTTGTCCCTGTGGGATTTGTCTTTGGATGTTATCTGGACAGAAGGAATGATGAAAAGCTAACTGCCTTCCGGAACAAGAGTATGCTATATAAAAGGTTAGTTCACACGTTTATCTTGTAAACATCTATTGGCCAGTTGTTGGCTATTCAATACTCATTTTTTTTAACGTATTTAGTACAGGGTCTACAGAGTCTCACTACACAGATCGGACTCGTAGTGATCCTCCTGTTATCAGCCTCCCATGCGCTGGGATTATAGGCGCGCGCCACCACACCCAGTCTCAGTCTCAATTGCAGTCTCAGCATACCCTGTGTGCGGGGCTAGCATGGTGGGGATTGAGCCCTGACTGTTGTGCTCTGCCTAATAGGTGCTTTAGTCTGCTGAGCTATCTGGCCGGCCCTAATATTCTTAATACAGTATGTGTCAAAGATAAATAGACGGTAAATTTTATCCCCTAAGGACTTAGATTCAAGAGTTACTATTTTTTAAGCTTGTTATTTATTCCTTTGATAAAATTGTATGATTACCTCTGTAATGTAAAGTCTTCAGTTTATAAACAGGCTATTACAGATCTTTGACTCTCATTTTTTGAAATTAAGGGTACATTTTAGTATAGAAACTATTTTATTTATTTTTAAGTATTTTATTTATTTGGTACAGGGTCTCGCTGCACAGCTCAAACTCATAGCAATTCTGTCTCAGCCTCCCCAGTGCCGGGATTACAGGTGTGTGCCACTGGTGGGCCGGCACAGCGTGTGGTACTGGGGATCAAATTTGGGTCATTGCGCTTGCCAGGCAGGTGCTTAGACTGTCCGGCTATCTCCCTGGCCCAGAACAAAATTTTAAACCAGTTAGTCAAATCTTGTCCTGTGTAAAGCTTTCACACATGTTATCATATATTATCTTACTTTGGCCATGACATACATCAAATAAATAAAAGTGACCCATTGCTGTGTTTTCAGCAACTCTGCCCTCAGAGCTTTAAATACGGTGGTTCAGTGACTGCACCTGGCAACTGCCTGATCCCTGTGTCTGTACAGGTGGCTCCTCTGGCAGCAGAGGGTTATGGTGAGCAGACGGCATGTGCCAGTGGGTGCACCTCTGTCTGCACTGGAGGAAGCTAGAGGGACAAGAGAGCCATAGCTGGGGGGTGGGGGGGCACACACCCATAATCCCAGCACTGGGGAGGCTGAGGCAAGAGAATTGACACAAGTTTGAGGCCAGCTTGGGCTTCATCTTGAGTTCAAAGCCAAGCTGAAGCATGTCGCAAAAAATCAAGCAAAGATAAAAAGAGGAGCAAGTAGCATCCACAGGTACCATATAGAGTGGTTCACAACTCAAGGATTTTTAAAAAGATACAATGAGCTAAATGGGATATAGAAAACATTGAATAACCTATTTGAAAGGATAATCGCTGTTATATGTACTAAGGAATTAAGGTCTTTACTCTGGAAAAATGAAGATATGGTAAGAGTTTTAAGGTCATGAGAAAAACAGGATGAATCTAAAATTTTTAATCAGTTAACATAATAGACTATAAAATACTCTCTTGACCACCTCATAAAAAGTTTTATTTACAGTTTTTCCTTGTGTTCCTTCTTTTTTTCTATTTAGGGAATTGAGACCTAATGAAGAAGTTACCTGGAAATAAAGACTGGCTAAATTACAGAATATTCGTGTTTTAAAATTATGGAAAAAATAAAAACATGTTTGTTATTTAATTATAAGAATTTGAAATGTGATTCTTTTTAGTCTATTTTTTTTTCTTTTTCTTTAAATTTTTATGGTGAAGGAAACAGGTCTGAGTAGTCCTGTATAGCCTTCTACTTGCTGTGTATCACAGACTGGCCTTGAACTTACAATTCTGCCTCAGCGTAGTGACTACTAAAATTACAGGTATGTGCATAATTCCTGGTGTCCTTTTATATGTTTTATTGAGATGATCTTTTATATACCTTTTTATACTTTTATTAAGTTAGTCTTCGGGTTTTAAATATTATAAAATAATTATCGAGTGTCTGATTGTATGCATAAGTGTTAAATTTGTATTGAGCATTTAATTTTTGGTTTCTTACTTTGAACCACCATTTTTTCATCAGCTATTTTTTCCAGAAAATATCTTTTAGACTGTGTGTGCTACAGTGGTTCCAGTGTGTCCCCCAAGAGTTTATGTTTGCAAATGTGATCTCCATTGTGACATATTAAGGTGGTGGGAACAATCCAACAATGGCAAATAGAGTTTGAGACCTTTAAGAGATGACTAGGGATCGATAAGGTCATCAAGGTTGAATCCCAGTGATTAAATTATTGGTGCATTAATAAGAAGAGAGACAAGAAAATACAGTTAGATACTCTGCCTGTCTCTTACATATGATTCTCTAAACCTCCCCAGGACTTTGCCAACAAGACAGCTATCACCAGAGGTGGTGCTTGATCTTGGAACTCCAGAACCATGAGCAGAAATAAACCCCTTCTCCTTACAAACTTACTGCTTCATACTTTGTTATAGTTATACAAAGTGGACTAACCTAGTGTACATCAAAGGAACTTTAATAGGATGATGCAAAGATTTTATTTAGCAAAAATCTTATAGTTGAAAATTTTAGTGACTTTGGGTTTGTCAAAGATTTCTTAAATTCAACACATAAGGTATAAATTGTTTTTAAAACCTAGTAAATTAGTTCATTAAAGTTTTTACTTGTCAAAAAAATATGTACTTTTGTGCAATCTCACTTGACATAAAATTTCAAGGAAGAAAAATGGAGTTGTCCAAGATGCTACAGAAGCATATCTAGTTGGTGTATCTGGACTTAGTAGCAGAATTAATTCTCCTGAATTATTGTGACACTTGTTTTGTCTGCTTTACACCAACCCTTGATAAAATGACCAAGACTCATGTGACCCTCAAGAAGGAACAGTTGAGAGGTATATCAAGTAATAATGCTAGTGTGGTGTAGCAGGTGCTTTAATTAGGCAAGTGTATGGTGTAGCAGTAGCACAAAGTTTCCAAGTCAAGGGAAGAAATTGGCTTGTGTGGAGCAGAATGTCAGGGAGTTAAAGTAAGGAAGGAGAATGGCCCAGATCACAGTGTTTTATGGTGGTGACAGGAAGGTAATGGTAAACTACTAAAAGACTTTAAAGGAAATAAGATTTAGATAATTATGTAGGAATCTCTTCCAATATACCCGAAGGTGGTTCTAGCTGTCTTTTCCATGATTAAGTCCCATTGCCTAATATACTTCTTTTGTTCAATAAGAGAAAAACTGAGTGAGATGTATAGTTTTGAAATCAAGATCACTGACAACACTACAAAGTAGGCATACTGAGACTGAAATTGGAAGACCAGTCAGCATTCCACAGTCTGGGCTACCCAGGAAACCAAGAAGGCTTGAACCAAGTAATAGTGAAGTGGCAATCAGGAGTGAATATGTAACATTTGCAGACTAACTGGAGTCAGGGGGGAAGTGGAAGGGTTGTGCAAATGGAATCAAGAATGATTCCCAGATACTTGGTGCTATGATCTGAGGGTCTGTGTCCCTTCAAACCTTATATGCTGAAATCTAATCCCCAGTATGTTAGTATTAGAAAGTGGAGACTTCGTTCAGTTACTAGCTCAGGAGGGCAAGAGTCTTACAAGGTCATTACATCCTTTCAACAAGAGGCCCTGCCGAGCTGGCTCCTTTGGCCTTTCCACCATGTGAGGAGGACATATGAAAGGCACCAGGAATGAGGAACAGGCCCTCACTAGACGCCACGTGTGATGGTGGAACTCCTCAACCTCCAGAACTATGAGCAGCAATTTCTGTTGCTAGATCACCAGTCATATATTTTGTTAGAGTAGACTGAAAGTGTTACAACATCTGACTTTATTCAGTTGAAAGATAGGAATTGTACCTTTAAGGCATACCAGGAAACAGTTGCCAATTCTTTTTGTCATCTTGAGACTATAGTTTACTGCTGTGGTGAAGCCACAAATCCTTAAGAACAAGAGGACTTTCCCCCAGCATAGGACTATCGATTGCATCCAGAAATGTTCAATCCAGGGTAACCAGGTCAGACCCCTGAGCACCTGCTCCTCACAGCAGTCTCCATTCCCTTACCTCTCCCTGAGCCTTGCAGTCCTCTTGAATTTGCACTCTCCAAAGTAGTCTATATTGGTACAGAATTTAGTGGTCTCTTTTAAGTACTTGTGTTGCTTGATGTCTTGGTAGCAAGTGACACGGGCAGGTCCCTGCAGGATTCTCTCCCCAGGGCTTCCAGAATACTACATCTTCGCTTTAAACCCCTCCTCCTTGACTATTCTCAATCCTCGGGACCCAACTATTACGTTTCCACTCTTGGTTTTCTCTGAAATGATTTTATACACTGATGATTTCAGTTACTTTTTTTTTTTTTAATACTATCAACTCACCATCCTACAGCTCAAACTAGAACTCCAGACCGCAACATTTGAATGCCTCATAGATATTTAAACTTATTTTCTCCAAACGAAAAGTTAGAAAAGTGCTTATCGTATGGTAAGCCTTGTCTAATATCATTTTCACACAAATGCTAAGTATTGGGAGAATGTAATACTTTTCTGATTGAAGCTTTCAGTGGGTGAGGAAGGAAGTATTAATTACATGAAGATGTGATAAGCAGAAAATACTGACTCACGCGGAAAACAAAAATAATATCGAACTTGGCTCTGGCCCACACCCCAACACCCAGAATCCAAATATCCCAAGAACCCACGGAAGAGGGTGGGAGGTGCACAAGAGCCTCGGGTCGGCAGGCGGCGCTGCTGCACCCGCGGACCTCTGGGTAACAGGCAATGGAAACACGCTACCAAGGTCACGTGCTTTCGCGCTTACCACACCAGCGTTCACGCGCTCCTTGCCGCACGTGACTCTCGTTGTGGAGCATGATTGGTCTGCGTGAGGCGCGAGAACCGGTCTGGGTGGGGCGGGGCAGGGCGGGGCGGAGTGGGCGTGGGGTGGGGCCAGGCCGGGGGCGGGGCTGGGGTGGGCTGGTTCCGCGCGGGGGCCGTTGGCTCCAGACAAATAAACATGGAGTCCATCTTCCACGAGAAAGTGAGTGTCTGCGTTCGGTGGGGAGCTGTCCGCGGAGGGGCGACGGGCGTGGCGGGCGGCCTCGCCGGCTCCAGGATTGCTGGGTGGGGCCCGAAGCGTCCCGACCATCCGGACCTTGCGGGGCGAGGGGCGCCGCCCGCCCGCTGCGCCCGGCTTGGGGACTTCGCTGACGCCCCCGCGGCGCCCTCCGCCGCTGAGGCTGCGACTCCGGGGGGACCCGGGGACCCCAGGGCTGCGCGCGCCGGGGCGGCACCGAGCGCGGTGAGCCGCGGCGTCCCGGTGCCACTCGCCGCAGCCCCGATCCCGTCTCTCCCCGCCGTCCTCGAGCCTCCGCCGACCCTTCCCGACTCCACCCACTCCTCAGGCCCACCCCTGGCGGAATTAACTTTTCCTTCTCTGGCTGCGCCGTTCTGTAATGGAATGGCCCCAGCACTTAGATCTTGGGGGCTAGTTCACGTCCTTGTGCACTGATTCGTGAGCCTTCGGAGGGCGGGGACCTCGGCTCGCCATTGTAGGGCCTGACACTTCGGAAGCGAAGTAGAAAATCCCGGACGCTCCGAAGCAGAGAAGTCGTCACGAGTGTGTTATTACGGGACGTGTGGGTTTGGTCTCTTGGTATTCCCATCATCCGGATCTGCAGGCCAGCTTCGTTTTTAGGTGTTAGGGCGGACTGGAATGTTTTGTTTTGATCTACGTAGGCTGTTCGTGCCTTAATTCCTCAGGGGCCACACCGTTGGCGATACTGTTTGTGGCATCTTGAGAAGCTGGTCCCTTCTCACGAACAATTACCCAGTCACTTGGGTGTGAGTGAAACCTTTCTCAGGACGACTTTGGATTATATCTTATTTCATAATAGGTTCATGTTTTAAGAGGTGTTTGGTTTTTTTTGTTATAAGGAATAATCATTTAAGACAGTTAAAAATCCACCTAACAAAAAGAACGTGAAATAGTGTACATTTGTAATGTAAGTCTGAATGTTAGATGCAGTGCTTTTCTTTTTAGAAAACATTTTTGAATGTTTCGGCTACTGGGAACAGATGGATTTCTATATGTGGACAAGGAGGACTCTGGTACAGTTACTAATCTTTTGACGTAATTGGCATGATTTATGAATTTTGGACAGGAAAGATTTGCTTATTTGATTGAGGAGATCGGGTGGAAACTATGCATATACATGTTCTTATAATTAATTTTCTAAGATATTGCCATAGAATTTGGCATGGAAGACTTTTAACACTTTATGCATGATTTTCTGAGATTTGTGTATCTATTTATATATTTTTTTAAGTTGTCTGAGACTGGGACTCACTATAGTTCAGGCTGGCCTTGAATTCAGTGTGGGACAAGGGAAGGTGTATTAGGGAATAGGAGTAGTTCCTGAGAGACAGAAGTTATCCTCGAAGCCAATTGCCCAATGGTTTCTCAATTTAAAGTTACAAAATCAATACAATAATTAAAAAAAAAATAAAGTTACTTATAGGCAAGTAAGACACAGGACTTGCTTAATTGTTTAGGGGTCACTTATCACAGGTACTCTGTGGATTTAAAGTGGCCAATAGGAACCCAGACTAGTTCCTTCACAGTTTCTACAGTAAACTAAGGTCTCAGAAGGAGCTGGTTAATTTGCAATGACTTCCTCAAAATTCAGGATCTTAAAAGACTGATTGCACGTCCCTTCAGAATCTTAGTAGGGAGTGGTGTGCATTCCTGATGTCTGAGGAAATTTAAGCTTTGCCCAAAGTCCTAGTTCACTATTCATAATTTTTGTTAGTGTGGCTGGCCATCCCACTCCTTCTCAGGCCCTTTCACTAGCTAGCTGCCTTAATCATAAAATGACTAAATAACTTGTCTTCTCTGCCACCACACCAGCATATTTTTAACAGCACTAACTGTTACGTCCTTGGCCACTGTGCTACAGTGCAGCTCCCAGATTGTTACCTCCTTGGGATAGATTTCAGTGAAGGATTTGCTGAGCCCATGTATCAAAAGAAGCTGGGCACTGGTGTAATGAAAATCTATACTCAAATGAAGTCACTCGATTATGAGCATGGTATAGATTTAAAAATACTTAAGAGATACATTTAATTTTGTCATGAACTTCTATGACTTTAACAAATGAAAACTGTAACAACATTTTGATACATTTCAAGAAAATGTGTTTGCAGCCCTAGGGCCCAATGTTACTCATGTATAAAATTCATATGGGGATATTTGAGCTTCCTGTGTTTTCCCTTTCCTTCCATAGCGGGCTTTTAATGCTTGAGCCAGAAAACCTACTTTGGCTCTCAAAACATGGTGTAGATAGAGGGATGTTTGCCCACTGAGGGCCTAGTAGCCATTTGCTCTTGGAATACTGGTTTCAGATTTTCAGATTTGCCACTGTGAGTACTCTTTAATCTGTTAGAAGGTAAAATCAATCTGAAATAGTATGTATATAGATGAGAGGTCCTTAGAGGAGCAGGATGGCATGTGCCTGTAGTCCAAGCTACTCAGATTGGAGGCTGAAAATTGAGCCCTGGAGTTACAGGCCAGCCTGGGCAACATTGTGAGAACTCTTATGTGGTGGTAGTGGTGGGTGGCATAGTATCCACACAGGGTTTCTTGGGCATTAAGGTCGTGCTACGTGTTCGAACAATTTTTCTGTAAGTATTAAGGCTTTGCGGGCTGTATATATCCTTGTCACATTCTCATTTGTGTGTGTGTGTGGGGGGGTCCTCCAACTGTCTTAAAATGTAAAAACCATTCTTTGCTATTGAAGCAGGTTGAATTTGGCCCACAGCTAAAGTTTGATAATCCCTTCCTTTAACCCTAATACTAAATGACTAATAATTGCTGTTTTTGCGAGTTTTTCTTTTTTTGCTGCCTGCTTTGTTGGAAACTTGCCTTTTTTTTTTCTTTTTTGCGGAACCAGGGAATTGAACTCAGGTCCTTGCGCTTTCCAGGGAAGCCTATATTCCACTGACCCATCCCCCCCGGCCGAGTTTTTTTTTTTTTTTTTTTTTTTTTTTTTTTTTGGCAGAACTGGGGATTGAACTCAGGCCCTTGTGCTTGCCAGGGAAGCACTTATTCCACTGAGCCATCTCCCCGGCTGCCTGCTTTGTTATTTGTGCTTGCTTCCATTGTTGGCTGCTCTTCGTGTAGTCCCTGGGTCATCTGAGTTGGTACTGTTAATGTAACACGAACTGGGCATGGTAACTACGAAAACATTGAAAAGATGCTGAACGTTGACTTTGTGATGTTTGTAAAGCCGTTCTGCTATTGCTGACTCTTAGTCATTGATAGGTTTTGATGGTGTCACAGCAGAGAAACAGGCAGAAGGAAAAGGGAAGGGGCTTTACTATAAAGGGGAAAGGGCTTCATTATCTTGGAGGACGTGAAGAGAATTTGGGAGGAGAGAATTTGGGAAGATGAGGAATTCTCTGGATTGGAACAAAGGGAGGCTGAGGCTTTTATGGCCTGTTGCCAGGGATGGGGTTTGAGGGGGATGTTTAGATAGACCTGAGGAGCTGACTGGGGCCTTCCCTGAGGTGGCGGGAAGAGTGAAAGGAAACTGCAGCCTGGGCTGAGTTGGAGAAGAAGGGGGAGGTGGTCTCTGGGCAGATGAGCTGTTGTTTTAAGGGCTTCAGCCATATTAGATGAGCACCATAATAATGCAGCAATTCATACTAGGGCCAGAACCTGTCAGTCATCTTTAGGATTATTTCAGAAAGCCAAATTCCAAGTAATGACTTGAGGAAGTGGTGGTAGGATACATTGTGAAGCCTTTACTTGGATTTGCATCTCAGGTCTTCTCCCACTTGCTGCTGTACAATCCTGGGCAGGTTACAGATTTGCACTTCAGAAGAGTGAGGATGGAAGTATCTGCAGAGTTAGGAGCATTCAGGAACCAGTCTGTTAGACACTCAGTGCTATTGAGTGCTGCCTTTGCTCTTGCTCAGATCCTTGTGTTTGCTAAAACTCCTAGTAGGGAGCAGGGCAGGGCTGTTAGCGTGCGTGAGGCCCTGGGTTCAGTCCTCAGCACCTAAAATAAAACAAAACACTGAGGGATGTCCAGGTGTAGGGGTGCGCGCTTGTAATCCCAGCACTTGGGAAGCTGGGGCAAGAGGATTGGTGGGAGCTCAAGGCCAGCCTGGTTGCTAACTGAGTTTAAGGCCAGCTGGAACTTTGTTAGGAAACCTTGTCTCAAAAAAAACTGAAGAGTAGGGGAGAGGCAAAGTGTTTTCTCACTTTTGTGGCTGTCACTGGAGGAATGGTAACCTCTCTGTCTCCAGAGCTACTTACTGCTTACCCAACTATTAACACTGCCTGCCCATTTTTGAGAGCACCTTAAGGGTTTATGTGGTTGGTTGTAGTTAATAATGTCTTCAGGGGGCCAGCAAGATAGCTCAGTGGACTAAGCACCTGCTTAGGCAAGCGCAGAGATTGGGGTTCAATCCACTGAGCTGGCCACCCAGTTGGAGCGTGGTGGCCCATGCCTTTAAGCCCAGCACTGGGGAGGCGATGTGCGAATTTTTTTTTCTTTTTATTATTATTTTTTAATTTTTTATTTATTTTATTTTATTTTATTTTTGGTGATGTGGATAAGGTGCCCTTTCGTGTTTTTATAAAACACCTTGTTAAAACTGGAGATGTGTTCATCCTCTGAGCCCAACACAAGAAAGTCTGGGCCTCCAATCGTGGGATTCCAGTACTACGGAGTGTAAACTAGCTCAGTGAGGGTCTGTTCTCTGCAGTGAAAGTGTGATGAGAAAGGCAATGGTTTCTTTTGGGGTGGAGGTGCGGTGGGAAAATACAGTCTCAGGTGGGGTCATGGTACCTTTTGAAAATTCATGGAGGTGTTTGTTTTTGTGGCACTGAAGACTGAGCCTGCTTTGGCTCCTCCCCAGCATTTTTTGCTTACTTTGAGGCACTGGACTTGAACTTGAAATCTTCCTGCCTTAGCCTTCCAGAATGCTGAGATTTCAGAACTGCACCACCGTGCCCAGCTATGGTTTTTTTTTTTTTTGAGAGAGATTAACATCCACATAGTTGTAATTGATTAATTCTTGTTACATAGTATTTTGTGATTACACTTTTTCTGTGATTCAGACCATCCCTTTGGCATTGTGTCACAGTCTTACTAATGAAAAAATTAAATAAATAGATACGTAGAAACAAGCCAGGGTGGTGATGCGCACCTGTAATCACAGCACTTGACAGGTTGGGGAGGGAGGATCACTGGAAGTTTGAGGCCAGCCTGGGCTACATAGTGAGTTCAAGGCCAGCCTGAAATTCGTATCAAGACCCTGTCTCAGAAACAAAGGAATACAAATGCAAATTTAAAACAAAACTAACTCTTACGATAGTTTCCACTTTTGAAGCTTGTACAAATAGTGCTTTTATGAATGATCTCACGCATTTCTCTTGATTAACATGTTTGCATTATATACGTAGCTGTGAAACTACTAATCATCGGGTGAGTATAGCTTATGCTTTAAAGATAAGGATTTTCCTAAGTAGTTATACTAATTTACACTTAGTATCACGTAATAATTTCTATGTCTCTAATGTTTTCTATCATTTTAGCCAATCTGGAGTGTGTTGTAGTAATAGGTTGTGATTGAAATATATATATTACCTGGTGTCTGATGAAGCTAAACACTGTTCTGAGTATTTTTAGCCAGTTGGCTGTCTTCTTATTAAACATCTACCTGCCTTATCCCTTATTCAGTGGAATATAAGTAGACATCTGTGTATCTCTCCACTTAATGTTATATCGTGCAGTGGGACTTGCTCGCTGGCAGTGGAAGTACAGGGGCACATAAAACAGGTAGAGACAGGACTGTCACTGTTGTGGCTGCAATGTGAAAGATAATTACCTCCCTAGCTCCAAGGGGCACATTCCTTCAAACTATGAAGATAAACTACTTTTAGCTCCATCTTAGACTCACCCTGTATCAATACTGCCTGTCTATTATCGTTCTACATTTTTGTTCCTAGAAAATTGATAAATCAGAGAAAGTGTATACTTTGCAAGGTGGTGCTCTTTCAAGTCACTGTGTGCTGTTGCTGAGAACAACTTGGCATTGTCAGGCAGGAAGACAACGTAGGGGCCCAGATGAGCAGAAGGAAGCGTTCTCTCATCGGCCATTGTCTCACAGAGTAGACCGGGGGTCTCTGCTCACCTACCCATAAATCTCCCTTTCTCTGCAGCACTGGTGTAGTTAGCAGTGGGGAAAGCAACTCCGGAGGGGAGGGGAACATGACAAACTGCTCAGTACCAGGCAGTTTGGATTTGAGTTCAGGGTCCCAACTGTATGAAAAAGCCAGTGGCCCAGATTCAAAAACAGTGGTCGTATGGAAAGGTGTGCCCACCCTTCGTGAGGAAGAAGCACACTCCTCTGGGAGCTAAGCTGGGCTGCAGACCCTCTTGCTAGCTTGGCCAGGAGCCAGCTCTGGGGTCTGTTTGGGGCAGATCTCATCACACCTCTATACATCTGTGTACCTAATCTGTAGGGTTCTTTGAAGAGAGCCTCAACTCTAGCTACAAGTCTTAACACAGGACAGAATTTTCCCATGTGTATTGGTTTTTAAAATCTGAAATGCCAGGAATATTTAGATCAAGTAGAGATTATCTTGGTTTTTGTTTTGTTTTGTTTTGTTTGCGGAACCCAGGATTGAACTCAGGCCCTTGTGCTTGCCAGGCAATCGCTTATTCTGCTGAGCCATCTCCCCGGTCCCGAGATTATCTTGTGAAAAGAATAAATGTTAGAGCTAGTGAGATAGCTCAAGGGACTAAAGTGCCTGCTTAGGCAAGCACAGGGACCACATTTTGAACCCTGACACATGCTGCACCAGCTCTGCCGCCAGGGCAGGCTGAGCCAGCCACAGAGTCTGGGTGTAGTGGGGCACGCCTTAATCCCAGCGCTGGGGAGGCTGAAAAGCAGGAGGATGACTATGAGTCCGAGCTGCATAGTAAGATGCTGCAACAACCACATACATTTAAAAAAGAGAATAAATGTCTAACTGGGCATGGTGGTGCATGCCTGTAATCCCAGCTACTCAGGAGCCTGAAGCAGGAAGATGTTGATTTCAAGCATTTTATTTATTATTTTTTCTTTTTGAGACACGGTCTCACTGTGCAGTTCAGACTGACCTTGAGCTCACTTTGTAGCCCAGGCTGGTCTCAAGCTCACAATGAGGCCTGAGCAATTTAGGTACTAGGAAGTAGGGAGATAGATGTTTCTCTCATAGGAAAGGGAAGGAAAAAGGATGAGAAAAGGAATTAAAATGTGTTATATGCATGTACCAACTCCCTACAGGGAAAGCAAACATGCACTAATAAAAAAAGAATAAATATTCTAGGAATTAAAACCCCCTTTCATAATTAATAATTTCCTGTGGACTCTCCAAAGATGAATTTTTCAGTGAAAATTAGGCTAAATGTTTTTATATTTTTAGTAAAATACAAGATGTGATAAAGTTTAAGTCAGGCTTAAAGTTTTGATATTTGTAATTTTCTAAAGTAGAACTATAAAGTTAATGTTAACTGATGACAGTATATGTGCCTATGTTATTCATGTTTGCCCAAGGCTTAAAAGGCTTAGTGTAATTATTTTAAAAAGCTAATACACTTTTTTAGAAGAAGATACTATACAGGTGTTTAATAAATTCCATTTCAACTTCTTTGTTTTGGGAATGTTAGCAAGAAGGATCACTTTGTGCTCAACACTGCCTGAATAATCTGTTGCAAGGAGAATACTTCAGCCCTGTGGAGTTATCCTCAATTGCCCACCAGCTGGATGAGGAAGAAAGGATGAGGATGGCGGAAGGAGGGCTGACTAGTGAAGACTATCGCACATTTTTACAGGTAAGGATTGTGGACCCTGCATTTCCCCCAAACACAGTGTTTTGAAGAAGATGAGCTGTTCTTTGTTATTGTAAGCATGCACACTAATGGCAGATTTTGTCCTTTCTCTCCCCTGCCTTCTACCCATCAAAATGAACAGCAGCCTTCTGGAAATATGGATGATAGTGGCTTTTTCTCTATTCAAGTAAGTAATCCCAGGCATTTACTCCATGCTGTCTGTGTCTGAGGCATTGCTTAAGCTCGGTTTATGGTTGACGTGGAATGTGTCTCCACAGCCTTTTACAGTCATTTAGAGCTGTGACCTTCAGACATTCTTCCAGCAGATTGTGTCTGCAGAACAGAGGACTTCATTTGTGAGCACTGAATTTTTACACAAACAAACGTGAACATTAGGATTGTGGAATCTTTGCTTTATTTTTTTTTAAAGTAAGCAATTTTTTTATTTTATTTTATTTATTTGAGAGACAGAGAGAGAGAGAGAGAGAGAGAGAGAGAGAGAGAGAGAGAGAGGTGTGTGTGGCCAGCTCAGCCCACCAGGGGGCGGGACTGGTTGGCATGTGGTGCTGGGGGATTGAACCGCGGTCCCTGATGCCTTGCCAACCTTGTTCTAAGTAGGTGCTTTAGACCACTGAGCCATCTCTCCAGCCCCGAATCTTTGCTTTAGAGTAGGGCTTTTACATGCCAATAATCTTAATTCTTCTATTTTTTATTTATTTATTTTTTTCTTTTTTGAGAAAAAATATCAATGAGACAGTTTCAAAACTGATTAATAGAACAGTTTCAATAATTAATACATTGTATATTGTTATCTTCTTAGTGGTTATCTGTAGAACAAGATACAGACAGAATATCCTGTCCAAACACTATTAGTACAAATCTTTCCTCTCATTGAATTAAGCGAAAGTAGTTGTGTATCTATCCTAACTATTCTACATATACAGATACAAAATGTATCCCATTTTGTTTAGTCCCGTCAGAAATGGGTATTCCTTTGGCATCTAAATACTATAGGTGCGTGAATTCAGCAAAACAATCCAACACAGTCCAGCAGTCCACAATATTTTATGGACAAAAGTTGTTGAGCCTTTCACAGCTCAGCATATTAATACGGCTTTACTTTATATACCTCATTTTTATACTTTTCTGCTGGATGGTTAAAACCAAGATAAAGCAAGACCTGTATAGCAAGAAATATAACTTTTGTATCTGATAAGGTCAGTCAAGTACCCTTAGGATTTATCCTGTAACCCCTGTACTGCAGTTTTCAGATCCTTTGTGTCAGCCATGTGGATGAGTCATGGCCATTGCTTGACCAATTTGCTCTCCCTGAAAGCCTGAGAGAATGTTTTCTCTCAATGTGACTCTCCTTAGGCACACTCTACGTCATTGATCACGTTGCTCTGTGGCCCCATAATCTCCTTGATCAGAAAATTTGGGACACAGCTGAGTTACATGATGTTACAGTATAGGTTCTGCTATGTCCTGAGTCTTCATTGACCTTGAAAGGCTATGATCTTAATGTTGGCTGACCTTACAGTCCTATTGCTCTAATTTTTGGTCTGCAAACTTAGGTTGTTAACCCTCCAGAAGAGAAACTTATTATTATCCTACATCTTATGCAGGTAGGATTAACTTCACTATCTGTGTGAATATCAAACATCTTAGGCATAACGTGAAACAGGTATTTTCCATCTAATATTGATATGTTAAACATTAAGTCCCAAGGGGGCTGGGGAGATGGCT